GAGAGAAACTATTACAAATTTTAAGTTTTAGAGAGAGAAAATACTCTCGAAATTTTTTTGAGAGAAACTATTTCAAATTTTTTAGAGAGTAACAATCTTAAATTTTATGTTTTAGTGAGGGAAATTATCACAAGAGAAATAAAGTATCTCAAATTTTAAGTTTCATAAAGAGAAAGTACTGAAAATTATGTAGAGAGAAATTATTTCAAATTTTAAGATTTATAACCAGAAACTACATGAAAACTTTTAGAGAGAAATATATCTTAAATTTTTTTAGAGAGAGAAACAATCTCAAATTTTAAAGCTTAGATAGAGAAATTATCTCAAATTTTACGTTTCACAAAGAGAAAGTACCTGGAAATTCTTTAAGAGAGAAACTATCTCAAATTTTTTAAAGAGAGACTGTTTCAAGTTTTACGTTTTAGATAGAGAAAGGACCTTAAAATTTTAAGGGAGAGATTATTTCAATATTTTAAGAGAGAGAAACTGTATTAAATTTTAACTTTTAGATTGAGAAACTATCTCGAAATTTTAATATAGAGAAACTATTTCAAATTTCGTATTTTAGAAATAGAAAGTACTTAAAATATTTTGAGAGATGAACTATCGCAAAATTTTTAGAGATAAAAAATATCTCGAAATTTTTAGAGAAAAACTATCTCAAAATTCTTAAAGAGGGAAACTGTCTCAAATTTGATGTTTTAGAGAGAGAAAATATTGTAAATATTTTAGAGAAATAAATTGTCTTTAAATTTTAGGGAGAGAAACTATATCAAATTTTAAATTTTATAGAGAGAAAGTATCTAAAAAATTTAGAGAGAGAGAGAGAGAGAAAATGTATCAAATTTTAGAGAAAAAAACTATCAAAAAATTTTGGAGAGAAATTCTCATAATATCTAGATAGTGAAACTCTCATATTTTAAGTTTTAGAGAGAAAAATATCTTAAAATGTTAGAGAGACAAATTATATCAAATTTTAGAATGAGAAAGTACTTAAATTTTTTAGAGAGAGATACCGTCTCAAATTTAAAGTTTTAAGGAGCAAAAATATCTTAAAATTTTAGAGAGAAATTATATCAAATTTTAGAGAGAGAAACTATTTATTTTTTAGTGAGAAATTATCTCAAATATTTAAAGAGAGAAATTATCTTAAATTTAATAAAAAATATAATGAATAATACACTAAAAAATATTTAACTAAAAAAAAAACATAAAAATATTATGCATCTCTGTACCATCCAAATAGCCGATGTCTATTTTATGAAAAATACTTTTCTTAAAATATATTAAAATAAATAAAAAAAGGTTTTCAGCCAAGTTTTTCCATGGATCTAAACGGCCCTATGGGTGGAGGCTTATGGGAGGCGTCTTTTCCTCATAGTATTGCGTTACATGCCCATGCTTATGTGTTGCCTTTTCAACCTTTAAAACAACGCGTTTTGAGCCGCGTGGATGAACCTAAAATTTTGAGGTGAGAGGTCTAGCTGATAAGAACTCCTGACTTATTTGATATAAATATATAATATTAAATAAAGGTGCAGGTGGCATACGGATGCATTGGTTAGAGGTAAGGTAAGGTGCACCCTCAAATTCTATCATGGTATATAATTTTGATGTAAATTATTTTTAAGATTATTTTAAATTTTAATTTTATATCTAATTATAAAATTTTTAATTTTAAAAATATTTAAAATCAAGTAGATCTATAAATATATGAAAAGCTTGAAAATGGACGGTGTAGATAATATGATGTAAAATACACTATTTCTAAAACTTCAAATCTTTTTATTTTTCATGGTCATACATCTCGATGTCGAGATGATCAATCAAAGAGTTTTTAAACATTAAAAGTACCTTTTTTGATGGATTTTTGAGGTGTACCTGTAGTTCCACAGTATAAGGTTGCATCTTTATATAAACCTTTTCTATTAAATAAATTATTGATATTGATTAATAACTAACATGATCACCAATAATTCTCAATCTGGATTGGAAAAGGTTGCATCTTTATATAAACTTTTTCCATTAAACAAATTATTGATATTGATTAATAACTAACATGATCACTAATAATTCTCAATCTGGAATGGAAAATTTCAATCCTCGAGAACTTTTTTACTAGAAATCAAACTTGGGTCAAAGCTGTAATAGCTTGGTTTTCATAGCACTACATCTCAAGTTCCATTTCCTAGCCTTGTCAAATTTTTTTTTTATTATTATAACAAAGTAGCATGAATCTCGCAATAAACTTGGTTCACATTCTCTAGTTAACTATAATTTTTTTTTCTATTTCTAGAAGTTCGAAAAACTCACCATCGCTTTTTGTAGTTTACAACTCATGGCGCATGAATTCACCCTTGGTAGTGCCGTAGACCGCCACTACAGGAAAATATTTCAAAATTGCTTAACATGATTTTTTACAAGTAAAATTCAGATAAAGCACATTTTAGTTTCAATATTTAACAACATTTGACGAATGCAGATGAGAATTTTTTGACCAACGGCGACCTTGACACAGTTGTGGATTGGATACCTGGCATGCGGAATATCCGTCTAAGAGATCTGCCCTCCTTTATTAGGACAACCAATCTTAATGATCTCATGTTACAATATTGCAAGGTTGAATGCCCTGCGGCTCTTAGAGCTTCAGCTCTCATTCTCAATACATTCGAAGATCTAGATAAACCGATTCTCGATGTCATGAGAGAGAGATTCCCTTGCCCAATCTACACAATTGGCCCTGTTGTAAGCTTTAGCCGAAGCGAATCCAGTGACCTTTTAAAGTCAGTTTCTATGAGTCTTTGGAAACAAGAGGATGCGTGTCTAGAATGGCTCAATGACAAGGAACCTAAGTCAGTTCTTTATGTGAGTTTTGGCAGTGTAATAGTTTTAACACCCTATCAACTCAATGAGTTCGCCTGGGGTCTTGCTAGTAGCCAAAGGCCTTTCTTATGGGTCATTCGCAAAGATCTTGTAGTTGGCAAATCTGCAATGTTAGAAAAAGAATTTGTTGAAGCAACCAAAGAAAGAGGGCTAATATTGAGTTGGTGTAACCAGATGAAAGTATTGTCACACCATGCAATTAGTGGCTTTCTAACTCACAATGGGTGGAATTCTACACTGGAGAGCATTTGCAATGGCGTGCCCATGATATGTTGGCCCTTCTTTGCCGATCAACAAACAAATTGCAGGTACGTTTGCAAGGAATGGGGCATTGGGATGGAGATAAACAATGACGTTAAGAGGGAGGATGTGGAGGCATTAGTGAGAGAGCTTATGGAAGGAGAAAATGGTAAAGAGATGCAGTTAAGGGCCAAGAAATGGAAGGAAAGCTCAAAAAGTGCTCTTCAAATTGGAGGTAGCTCTTATGATAACTTTGAGAGGCTATTAAAGGAAGTGCTTCTAGAGAAACATTAATCAAATTTAGTTATCACAAATTTTACTTGAATAATTTTAGAAGCTTGTATGAGAACTTATCCTCCTATAAATTGCATGGAAGTGTGAGACTTGTTTGTGCATTTGTTGGCATGCCCGAGTAGAAAAAATAATGTGTGGCGTCTATTTTGAGTTGTAAAAGATGTTGCTGCATATATGTAAGTAATGTTGAGAATGAGAAGCACTTTTGCACATGTTATCTTGAGACTACTAAGTATACGAAGCACACATTCTTATGTAACATTGATTCTTAGGCCCTATTTAGTTCACAGGAAATGAGTATCCTTAGAAGATGTCAGGTGTGTTTGAGAAAACAGGATTCAAATATTCAGATTTTTAAAAATATGGATAAAGACGTTATCTAGCTTTTTTTATATCTAGATTTTATATTATCCTGATATCTGGTTTTTTTTGTGCATGTTTAACTGCTTTCTTGTATATTAGGATTCTACTGTAATTATTCATTTTTTTGAAAGAAAGTTAACTTAATTATTCATTTATTTTCTATGATAATTCTTCATAGATTTTCTATTTTTTATATCCATCATCCAATTAAGAAAAAAAGGAAACAAAGGGATGGTACCTTCACTAGCGAGAGAGGTCTCCATTCAACATCTAAAGAAGGGGGATTACAATCCTAAAGATTCGGGCTATCTTTGCATATCTTTAGAGAGAGAGAGACTTTGATACCTTTTTCTCAGCTATTGAATTGGGTCAGTTCCAATGTTGAAGTTTGGATTGTAAATTAGAGAGAGAAACCCATTTGCTAACCATTAAAAAAGATAGAAACCCATCTATATAATAGACGTTGTGATTCTCCTCTAAGCCATTACAGATGGTAATAAAATACAAGTCCCACATTAGAGATCACCATGGATGGCCTGGGCAGTTGTTACAAAGTAAGAAATAGATGAGGGATTTAAGCAAGCGAAAAAGAGAGAAAGAGAGAGAGAGAGTAGGGCAATGATAAGAGAGAGAGACATACAGTCTTGTTTAGAGAGAGGGAAAGAGGCAGGAAAGGGAGATGAGTGGACACGAGAAGGAGAGAGAGAGCACGAGTGTCAATTGTGTGAATCGCAGCTCACAATTTTTAGAACCCCCAAATTTCAACTCAGAGTTGAAATTTTGGGGATTTTGGATATCATATCGGTAATCCAAATATATATTGATAGAATTCGACCCATCAAACATGGTCCACTAATATCCGTAATCAAAATTATACGAGAATTTGTAATATCCTAAAATGTCTGGATATTATAATGTTATCAAACAGACCCAGAAGAAGTGGTATCTCCTAGTATAGATGTTTGCTTTTTGGATAGCATCTAGTAATAGACTTGGAATATACTTGTTCATTGTTTGGATTTCTTAGAAGGTGTATCTCCTTAGAATGATATAACATAATATTATAATTATAATATTAGAAGACAGTACTCTAAGTCTCATAGTTGGTCTGCTATATAATTTAATCATTCAAGTTTCTATGGACCATACTAACTTGGTGGCCCTTAGAGTAGGCTTATTGGGCTGGAATTTTGCCCATTGTAGGCCAACTCGAGTGTAGTTGACCGTGTGAGTAGGGCGCGTTAGGGGGAACTGGAGTGTTGTCGATGGTGAATTTGAACAGCATCTCCCCTAGATTTGGAAATTTGTGGGAGGTGCGCTCCTGATTGGGGAACATCCCTCTTAGATTTTGACATTTGTGGCAAGTGCACCCCTGATTGGGCAGCATCTCCGCTAGACTTTAAAATTTGTGGGAGGTGCAAATTGGGTTGCATCTCCCCTAGACATAGATATTTGTGAGAGGTGAGTCCTTGAGTGGGCATCATCTCCCCTAGACTTGGAAGATGAAGGGAGGTGAGCCACCAATTGGATAGGATGTCCACTATACTGAGAGGATGAAAGGGTTGACCACCGGTTGGGCAGCATGTCCCCTAGACTGAGAGGATGAAGAGAGCTGAACCGCCGCTATTTGGGCAACATGTCCTTTAGAACTAGACATTTGTGAGAGGTGCACCCTTGATTGGGCAACATCTCCTCTAGATTTTGACATTTGTGGGAAGTGCACCTATGATTAGGTTGCATCTCCCTTATACATGGATATTTGTGGGAGATGTACCCTGGATTGGGTAGCATCTCCCCTAGACTTAGAAAATGAAAGGGGTGAGCCACCGATTGGGTACATGTCCCCTATATTGAGAGGATGAAGGGGGTTGAGCATCAAATTGAGCAGTATGTCCCCTAAACTAAGATGATGAAGAGGGCTAAGCCTCCGGTTGGGCAGTATGTCCCCTAGACCTAGAGGATGGAGGGAAATTCAACCTTGGTTCATTGAGCCCAAGTCGAACTCCCTGACATTCTGGGTGGCATGAACCATGCAGACTTGGTGGGCTACACATCTCAACTGGATGATAGATAGGCTAGCTAGGCTTAGCCCTAGGTGTGGGATTATGGAACCACTAGAACTCGATCTTGACTAACCTTAAACATGGTAGATCCAAGGAACTGCGCCATAAGATCATGTGGATCTAGCCATCCTAAGGGGCCCAGACGATGTAGTAGATTCAGTATCTGAGTCACCACAAACTAAAGACATGATAATGCAACACAAGGAGCAATCGAAATAGGTTTGGAAAGACACTTTTTGACTTATTGTCACTGTGGGTAGCCTGGGCTATGTAGTGTTCCTAGCTAAGGAAAATGCTGAAATGAATTAGGCTGAAATAGGTGTCCACATAAAAGTCCAACTACAGTGACTACGAGAGGCCGATCTTTACTTAGAAGTGGGTTTGCATTCGTGGTCGAGTTTCCTCAGAGAGGTGCATTGCTTCCTCGTTGGATCACCCCAGTTCCCTGTGCATGAAGCTAGGTTCCCGCATGACTATTGGTTGGTACGTGGTTTATCGAAAACTATGAAGATTTTGGTGTGTTTGAAGCGTGTGTGGTTGGTGTGGGAAAACAACACTCGGTGATGTTTGCGCATTAAGTCATAACAAGCAGATGTAATAAACAACCAAGTTACTAATGGATAAGCAT